TCTCTACCTCCTTTAGACCTGCCCCTGGCCGTCACCGGCCTGTGGTTGGCTGCAGCCTGAAACCTGCCTCAGTGCTGTCGTGAAGGGGCTGTGTGGCTTTGGGTTGTCATTCTTAGAATGTTTTATTACCTGGGAAAGCTAAAATGGGGAATTTCATTAGACCAATGGATTCCTAGGGACTCTGGATCTTACATTTCCAGGTTAACGTCTCCAAAGTGAGGTTTGGTTTGGTTTCTAACTAAAAGTACTTTCTGCCACTGTGGTGTAAAGGACCCACTTATTGCTCATGACCAAGTTTTTTGGAGGGAGGGTGGGAATAGAACTCTCTCAGCTTCGGATCTGGTCAGAAGCTCCAAGTTCTCCCAGAAAGCTCCTTCGTCTCTCTCATGTGATCCATGAAGCGCATCAGATGGACTCTTCCACCAGGAGCACCACAGTCAGCTCCTCTGCTCCACCCCGGGGGTGCCTCTCTGCCCCCGTTTGCTCGGAACGCTGGTTTTGAGATGGCGCTCTGCCTTCTCGGCTCATTGAGCCTAGCTGGTGGGAGCCCAGCATAGCTTGCTTTGTCTTCAATCCATTTTAGAATAAAAGTTAGCTCTATATAGCTACAATGATTACCACCCCACCACCAGCATATTACAGACCTAATCCTATTTGGGGTTCTAACTTAAAGCCTCAACGTTGGGAAAGTTGGCATTAAAAGTGAATTATTACACACCAGTGTGGACTCAAGTCCATTTCTCATGCTAACCAGCAAAACTTGAAGCATGTCAAACTGTAATTTCTCCAGCATCCTGAAAGATCTTTGGGAGCCTGTGTGCAGGTATAAACATCTCCTATAAATCCAGTATTAACCCAGGGGAAAGCTGTTTAAAAACAAACAAACACTGTCTCAAGTACTTTCAATCTCCCCTCTCTGCACTTCTCTAATTGCCACTGGTTCCTAATGCTTCCTGATTCTCTCCTCTTACCCTTTTTCCACTAAAATCTACCCTTAGGTGATCTTATTTGGATCCTGACTAAAGGGTAAAAGAAAGGTCGTTACAGAAATGAAACTGACAGCGTATTTTATGACATCAAGACATTACTGTTAAATTTTTCAGGTGTGATAATGGTATTGTGACTTAAAAAACAAAAATTAGTCCTTTCCTTTGGTGACATGTATTGAAATGTGAGCTACACCCAGAAATGATGAGACTTGCTTGAAGCGATAGAGGGGAGGACTGGCTGGTGCTGTAGGTGAAACAAAATTGGACTTGGTATGTGCCCAAGCTGATTAATGGCTACTAGGCGTCATCACATTTTTTGGCATATGCTTGAAAGTTTCTATAATAAAAAGTGTTTGTTTTTTAACAAAAAGCCCACTCTTAAGGAAACATCTGATAAATACATCCAAAGTAAGATGTCACCAACTAATAAGGATAAATAGCAGTTATCTATTTCCAGAGGCATCTGCATTTAACAGGAGAAAAAGCCTTAAGACAAAGAAATGAATCCAACTGTGCAAGTCAGGCAGGAGCAAAGAGGAGGGAACCTCCAAAAGCGCCACTGAAGCCCAGTGCTCTGAAGAGAGTTCCAGCCTCAATTTTCTTTCTTTATCAGAACTAACAGGATTTAATAAAGATCAGGCCAACAAACACAACTACATTTTCCAAAGACCGTTTCTGGTGCTATTTTATTGAAGATCTTTCCCAGTTTTGTTTTGTTTTTTAACAACCATTTAATAATTTTAGGTAAGATTCATTTAATAACAGCTACTATCAGACCACTTGCTATATACGAGACTTTTTGCTAAGTACTTTATATACGATAGATTCTTCCATTTGATCTTTATTTCAATCCTGTGAGATATTATCCCCATTTTACTGATGAGTCAAAAGTAACTTATGCAAGATCACTCGGCCACTAAGTGGCAGAGCCAGGGTTGAAGTCTGGCCTCTCACTTTGTGATCACTGTAGTGCCCAGGAGAAACCTCTTCCTGAAGGGTGGTCACTGAACAACAGATTCACCTTCTCACAGCATATGACCACTTACCAAAGGTGTGCTAAATCATTAAGTCATGAACCATTCCTCAAAATAGTATTTAAAATCATAAAATAGCTTAAAAAAAAAAAATTGCCAGATGAAAACAATGGCATAATCTGTGATAGCCAACACAGGAAAGATTCATGAGGCTAATGAATCTTACTGAGGATTGGTGTCACTGGAATAGTACCAAGTGGGTGCAATCGGGTTTAGCAGACACGTTTAGAGCAAGGGAGAGAAGAATGAGTAGAAAGGTGTGCAGAAGATTGTAGGTCATTCTGCTGGCCACGGGTATCGAAGGCTGGATTCTCTGGGAGGTACATACTGAGGCAAAGTTAGGACAGCAAAAGGTTTGCTGGGGAGTAACACCTGAAAAAGAAAAGAGGGGAAGGAGGCCAGGGCAGGGGGAGCCCTCGGACTGTGAAGCAGACCCAACCAAGTGTCTGCCAGTCCAGCAGGGAGTTCCAGAGCCGCACTCGGTGGAAATGGCTGGGTCCTTGTATCTGGGCCTTGCTCAGAAACTGGCTGAAGGCCATGACTTTGGCTCAAACACAGGCTTGAGCTAACCTTGAAGGTGCGGATAGCAGGGAGGCTGTCAGCTAAGCACACCCCTTGCAACTGGGTAGTAGTCTTTCTGTGCAAGATCTGAACAGAACTTCTTTGTGTCTACCACCCAAGTAAAATTTGTAGCGCTCTATTCTAGGAGAGATGGAAAACCACTGAGTAGTTTCCATCAGACACGATGAGATTTCATACATAGTTACATGAATATTTAATAATACCTATTGAATCATTCATGCAATAAATATTTGAGGGTCTGTCACGTTCCAGGTGCTGTTTAGGTGCTTGGGATATATGAGTGAACAAAACAAAGATTCTGCTTCAGTGGCGTTTATGCTATAGCCAGAGAGGGAGACAAACAGTACAACATAATAAGTACGGAGATGACACGCTATGTCGGACCTCTGCTCCTCAGTGTGCTCATGGGCCAGCAGTGTGGGCAGGCCCTAGGGATTTGCTAGAGATGCTGCCCCACCCTAGACCTAGTGAATTTGAATCTGCATTTTAACAACTCCAGATGATTCTTACGGGCCCCACCCTCAATTTTAAGACCATTTTTACACAATGGTAAGTGGGAGTAGGGGGAGGGGGAGACAGCTACAGTATTAAAAAGGGTAGTCGAAGTAGAGCTCACTGAAAAGGGAGAACTCTGGTAAACAGTATGAAGGAATTGAGTTAGCCAAGCATCTGGGTTAAGAGACGTTTCAGGCAGAGGAACTAGCTTGAGCCAAGGCTCTAAGGCAAAGCATGCCTGGAGTGTCTGAGGAACAGCAAGATGGCCAGTTTGGTTGGAATGGAGTGGGCAAGGATGAAGAGTCAGTTCAGAAAGATAAAGGGGGACTGGTTACTATGGCCAGTGATGTGGGGCCTTATGGGACACAGCAAGGCCTTGGGCTTATTCTCTGAGTGACATGGGAGCTACTGCAGGAGTTTGAACAGACAAGTGACAGGACCTATGTTTCCAGAGGATCACTCTGGCTGTGAGAACAGATGGTAAAGGGACATGGGAAGAACCAGGGGAACCAAGGGTACTGTCATAATCCAGACTGGGAGTTCAGAACTGGTTGGTTACAGAGTAGGTGGGAAATGGCTTGATTCTGGGTAAATCAGTAAATAGATATAACATGATCTCTTGATGGATTTGGCGTAGGATGTGAGAGAGAAAAGTGGAGGATAACTCCAAGGTTTCTGGCCTAATCAACTGAAGAGAAGTGTGATCTGAGGTGAGGAAGGCTGTGGGTGAACAGATTTTTAGGGGAGACGATCAAGGAATAACCTGTGGCATGTGGAGGTTGAGATGTCCATCAGACACGCAAAAGATGTTGACTAGGCAGTTGCATACAAGTGCGGGGTTCAGGAAAGAAGTCTGCTAAAGATATCCATTTGGGAGCCATGATCAGCCATTCTACTATAAAGTCATGTAAGAATAGGGCTATATATACTGAACATTTGCCATGCCTGTAGATCTGCCTATTATACCATACATTTTGGTCAGATAATATAATCATTATGGAAGGATTGTGATGTGAACTTCTTCGGTATATCTTTCCTGGGTTGTGATCTGAAATTTCAGGTAATTAGATACACTTTAAATACAGGTTTGAAAAACTTCTCAAAAATGCAAAACAAAAGGAAATCTATAAAAGCCAAAATAGAAAAACCATGAAAATAAAAAATAACAGTCATCTAAAATCAACTGAATACTTTTAACTTAATTTCCACTGGCAAATGGACAAAATTCATTGATGATTCCCTTCGAAAAAAGTTCTACTGAATAAACTACACAATAATGAATACATTTAAATTTAAATATAGTACAACTTAGGACAATATAGCTTTTTATGGAGCATAATAGCAGTTATTAACAGTAAGTACTTTATGCATAGATACTGAGTTAATCACGTTGCCATATATGATCTCATTTAATCTTCACTCCTATAAGGTTGTATCTATTTTGTATTTGATGAGACTGAGACTCAAAGAGGCTGAATATGTGACCTCACATGGTTAATAAGTGCTAGTGCAGAGATCAAATTCCAAATCAAAGGCCACTATCTGCAAAATTCAAATAGCACAATTTAGATGTGAAATCTAAAGGAGAAAGTGATATTAATCTACTTTCAAATAAAGGACAGTATTTCTTTTAGAAAAGATTAAATGCTTCTAAGTACTTTCTACAGTCAATAGATCCTTTGCAAAATGGTTGCTGGAATATCGTCTTTTTTTTTTTTTTTTTTAAATTTAACCCCCAGCCATGACTCATGCTTCTCATTAAGGTATGACTTTTCTTGCTGATTTCTAGACAAGCTGATACTGATGACTGAATCAAAAATGGGCAAGTAATTTAGAGTCAGTTATTTGTACTTTCAGATTTTATCTATCGTGATGATTAGGTAAAATAATGTACTGTCAGTGACTTATTAAAAATTTATTTCATGTAACAAATTATATAATTTATTTTTATCTTTAAACAGTCTACACCGAAAACATTTTTGGAAACATCTTTTCCTTTTGGTAAAACAGGTTAGCAGGCTGACATCAGCTTCATATTCTCATGGCTAAAATCCCCCACAATTATACAGTTAAGCATAGCTTTTCTTTGTATTTCTCAAGTTGACACCACTCAATAAAAAACAAAACAATATAAACATTTCTAGATTTTGCCTAAGGCCTTAGCTTTAACTGCAGAGTAGTGAGTAGGAAATTACAAACATATATTCATTAGCCTTAAACTTACCATCTTACATGTGCACATACCAAAAAGGCAAAAGGAAAGTAAAAAGTAAGGCACAAAAGGATGCAGTGAGTGTTAGGTCTGTCTCCTAAGATTGGCCATAAGAGACATTAACCAACATATATGACAGACAAGGAAAAAACTGACTAATAGAACCTTTTCTTTAAAAGCTGTTAATAGCATATTCAATTATTATTCAGGTTATGAGGCTTCTAAAATGACCAAATTTCTGTGTATGCAAAACTGGACTTTTTTTCAGTTACAAAATAAGGTTGGCCTCAAAAATGTAAAACATAAAATCATTTAAGGGTTTGGCAGAAGTTAGTACATCTCAGAAAGTGGGAAAAGGAAACCCAACTCTTACATGCACCAAATGTGTATGTGTTCCAAAAACTTTCTCCGAGTATGACTCAGACTCACAAGAGTTTTCCTGTTGTTGTTTTCAGCTGTTGGTTATTTTCCTCTGTGAAATGTAACTCTCAGGATGAGACATTAAAGTAGCATCAGCAGTAAACACAAATTATCTTTGTTTAAATTTTACTAAAATCTATGGAAGCCATAGACGTAGTCTAAAAATACAAGCACATTCTGTAGCCCGGTCCTCAATAACAGTTCTTATTATGAGGTGGTTAAAGACACAGAACCACAGTGAAGTGCTGATCATAATAATAGAAAAATTTAATTCATATTTAAATTTACCATTCTGTATATCAAGTGCCTATTGGCTGAACAGAACTGTATTCAATAATTCATATTCTGTAACTTCATTCAACTAATACAAAAAGCTAAATAGAAAGATTTACAGTTGAACACCAGGTTCCTAAGGCTGGCGTCACATATCATTCCCTGATAGAGCGAGAATTCATCAACAGAGGACCTAAAAACCAAACTGCGAGTTTGATTTAAAATTCCTTTCCCTGCCATGTATAAGTAACACATTGTGTAGTGACCAGAAGAATATTCTGTTACACAATGTTCTTTTCTAGGCAGGCTGCCACAGCCCAATGACTTTACAAACCTAACTCCAATATTTTACCTAATAGTTTTAATAAGGGTTGTTGGGTCGCAAAGACAGAAGAGGTTATCTTCAGCAATGACTGGTAATGTATCATCCACTGCCTTCGTCACAGAACAAAGATAACAAAGGTCAATTATGAGGCTTACCAATCAGTACTAGCAAATTATAATAAACACATCCTTTTTAATACTTATGTGTGGAAATAGGAGTGAGTGAAAATGACACTAGGATGGGGACAAAGGAAAGCCTGAATAGACAGAACTCTTCAAAAACTTGTGAATTTTATGCCCTCAGAGTCAAATTTAAGCCAGGAGGAATAGAGCTAGAATTCCAACACCACTGAGAAAGAAAGGGTTAACAATAAAAACCACAGCTGATTTTCTGCATCAGGAATGAAATGTTGTAACATATCTATCATTCACATGTGAGTTCATGTAATTTATCTTCAATTAGAATTATTATCTATTCAGCAGCTGAAGCCCAAGAACTGCTGATACACTGCAGATGAGAAAACATTTGCTACTCTCCCAGCTCCGGCCTTTCTTAAGCTAAGTGATGATCACAACAATATAGATCACTTGTTCTATAAAACAATTTTGGCTTACATGTACAGCAAGCTGTGCTGCCAGAATTTACATTTGCGACAACATTTCATCCCTTTTTGAATCTAGAGGTTGCAACTCTTCAGTTTTACGGGTCCTGCAATTTAGTCCTAAATTCTCATTAAAAATTTACACTTTTTAATCCAGCATTTATTCCCTTGAAATGAGTTACTATAGCTATGTAAATTTTTTTAATGTTTGAACCGCAAAGATAAAATAAATACATTTTAAAATAACCTTTATGATATTCATAGTTAAATACTTCATCTCAAAATAGTCACTGACTTCCAAGGTGGTCAAGCCAGTGACCACAAGAGTCTACCTTACACATTAAAGGAAGTGGTGTCTGTCTGAGCTCATGTTTACAGTCCGGAACAATGTACAATGTCACCAAAATATCAGAAAATCTCTTTCTCATACACAGGTTACAATGCCAAATCAATAAGAAAAATGCAGCCCAGAAGGCAACACAGCATTCTCTACCATAGTGTTTTTAAAAGTATGTTCAATGGGCTGTTAACAAATATTTCACTTTAAAAAAATGAGTTTCTCTTTGGATAAGGATATATTGAAACTGGTTATTTAGTGAAGGAATTCTTAGAGCCTTCTATACGCCAACAGGCAGGTTTGCAAAGGCGGCTCCCAAAATTATTTGTAAACACTTTCTCCCCATGAGCATCTTCTAGGAACAGAAGCCACAGAGCTGGTTTTGAGAAACATAGCTTTGGCATGGTGGCATGTTTAGAAGCTTCAGTAAATCTTCAGGCTATGACATATCAGTCTATTCCTTAAATTAACAACAAAATTATTGTTAAAGCCAGTATGTCTGGAATTTCAGACTCAGAAAAATGAGCACATGGGCAAGGAGGGGGGAACACACCTGCTTATTATACTATGTGATTTTTACCTTCCCGGCAAACATATGTTCAAAAATACTCATGTTAGCTAATTTTGATGATGTCTGTGCACAACATCTGAACAAACTAACCAATATATGCAGGCTGCTTAAAGCAAAAACAGTAAGTGGAATAATGTTTTCCCTTACCCAAAAGGAAAAATGCACCAGTGCCATATAAAACAATTTATAATGACATGCTTGGAACCTGTGACCCTGGTTATCACTTAAGATTCTCCATATAGTATAGTTTGATGACATTTATAAAGCTATCTTCTTTGAAGTACTACTGAAAGTTGCTATGGTAACCTTCTCTTTACTCAAGGAGTTTATCTACTTTAGAGGTGTATTTCTCAGCCTCAGCACTAATGACATTTTGGGCTGGATAATTCTTTGTTGTGGAGAGTTGTCCGGTGCATTGTAGGATGTTGAGCAGCACCCTGGCCTCTATCCTCTAGATATTAACGGCATCCCACCAGTTGTGACAACCAAAAATGTCTGCAGATGCTGTTCAGATACGCGAATCAACCCTAGTTGAGAGCCATTGCTTTTGGGTCAAAATGGAAGTTTATACCTTGATTCTGCTTCCCTGGGGAATGTCCATTTTACAGGCACACTGTGACTTACACATCTCAACAAACAACTAGTAACTAGTGGCATAAGGAATCTTTCTCAATTCTGTGTGATCAGAAAAGGTAAAGAATGGTTAGGAGGAAGCACTCTACATTTCAAAGAGAATTGAAGGTAATTTTACTGTCGTTACACTAGTAAAAATTATCTGAGTCATGATGCTTAATTGACAGATATTTTAACAATTAGAAAAATGCTAGCTGTATATTATAACCTGTTAAGGATCACAAGGATTGATGCAGTCTAAGAATGGGAAACTTAACAATCATCAATGGCTAGTTCAGACCACAGTCTACTCCTTGACTGAATATTCTCCATGAAATTCTCAATTCAAAAATCTCAAGTCTTATCTTTAAAACTGCTTGCTTGTACTACAGCCTTTATCATTTCTTTCAAATACACCTTTGCATGTGTATTTGCAAAGATCAAGAAGAAACCCTTCGCATGTCATGAAGAAGCATCCTGGTATGTGTCAAGAAGTACATTATCTGGTTTTAAAGCCATTTCTTCAATATCCACATCTTCAGTTTTGTCATAATTGTCATCACTCTCTTTACTTTGTTCTTTTCTTACCGCCTTTAAACACTTGTCAAGTCTCTTTATGAACAGGTCCACATCCTGCATCTTCATTCCGATGGCTGATGCAGCATTTAGGTAAGCACAAGGGTAATTATTTGTATGTGACATAAAGCCTCTGAAAGTATAGCCACTCACAGTTTGCACAGACCCAAGAGGCACAACCCTGAAAGAAGAAAGATTTACCAATTTAATATGTCTGGTAATGGTAACACAATGTCACCCATAAACAAAAGATATGTGTTACAAAGTCTTACATCCACTTATTAAGAAGTTTAAAACAGGAATAAATCATGGCCTACGAAAATAGACTGTATCAACTTTAAAATGAAATTCTATAACACACTGCTTTTTTACATAGAAAAGTCCTGCCTACCGTTTACTTATCTGATTATCGTTTACTTATCTCCTATTAAAGACCTATAAGCTCTAGGAATCTCTTTTTATTTTACTTTTGCCAGTATATTTTTCTCTTTACCTGAAGCTCTAGGAATCTTAAACACCTCTACATCTTCTTTAAAGAAGTAAAAAGAAAATGATTTGGTTTTGTGTCAAATCTGGAATATGACTTCATATATACACCCTTCACTGAAATATTGAAATTTGCAAGTCAAACCACTGTAATTGTCATGTTACCTCAAATAATCAACAAACTAAAAGTCTAACTATCTGATCAGTGCTACGCAATGGATAGTTTTAAAGCCAAGATACAGAAGAAGTTATGTAACTGTTTATAGTGGGGTGGTGGTCAGCAAACAGTAATATTCAGCAAAGGCACCTGCATTTTTAAAGCTTGATTTCACTGGCATGTTAGATATAAGCAGATTTCTAATACTCTAATCATTTAGCTATGTTTTAAAGAAGTCAATGAGGCTCAACTTAAACATAAAGACAAATAGTGGCAATACTAAAAGCAATGTCAAGAAATCCATTTTAGAAGTGTCAAAACTATATTGTATATAGATAAGAGTTCATCAAGGTAAAAAGTAAATTAATCTAAGATTTTACTTTTAAAAAGTTGTACTGTGATACAAAATCTCTATCCTCTGGTAGCTACAGAAAAATTCTTTAATAGAAGCATGTAAAGTATTTACAGCAAGATATTTTCAAGTCATTTTTCTCTGACCTCATCAAATCTAAAATGAAAAATGAGATTCATTTTTCAGGCCATGTATACAGAAGAGGAAAAAGTACAATTTTCTGAGGCAGTTACATAGGCAAGGATTGCATACTCTTTTTTTTTTAGTTTAGGAAGAAGGCTTTTCCTTAACAACACTTTCACTTCAATTTAGTGATGAAGATGGCTTATTTCTAATACCATAATGTGACTCGCCGAAGATCATCTAACAAAGGAAATAAAGACAAAAAATCTATATAGAGAGGTAATAAAACTTTGTTTCTGTACATCTATGAAAACAAACAAGATTCATGTCTTTTTGTGACTATTTCAGGCATAAGCAGTCAACAGGTGGGCATACAGTAGCCTTACACATTCTCTAACTCATCATTCTTTACTCCATGATGAATTCGCAGGTATAGTTCAGCATATACTTGGGGGACTATTGTTGAGGAAAGGTATTTTATTGGAGTTAACTTTGAAAAGCCAAATAGACCCACATCTATTTTAAACATACTTACCTGGCTCCAGAAACCTGTCTGGTAAAAAGCATCGAGCCGAGCTGAGTGACAGCTTGGTCATGGTGTTCATCTAGTGTTTTAAGTGTCATAGCTGAAAAAGAAAAAAGTACCCTAATAAGCGTTGGTTTACTGGCATAAAAATCATTCAAATAATAACAATAATGATGATGAAGACATTACTTTTGATTCATTGTCAAGTGGCACAATTTCACTGTAACGTACTTAATAAATCATAGGGATTTCTTTATATATCAGACAAAAATATTTTAATGTAAATTAACATCTCAGAATACGAAACAGAATTTCCATATCATCCTTCAGGAGAGTAAATTTTTCCAACTAAAGAGATGGAACAATAACACGATCAGTATGGCTGTTTATTCAAATTCAACCAAGTTTTAAAAACTTGTAAAGTGAGGATGTGGGATATATTTCAGTACATATACAAAACTAAGTAAGATCAAATTCTGCATATAGAAATGGAATTGATCGTTCTGAGGCTGTGTGGGTAAACTGGATTGCATACATAGCACCACTCGTAGCTACCATTTACTAAGGACTCACCATACTACATGCTTCACAAACAATCGCAACCAATCATTAAACAATTTTGCATGTGAGGGAAAAGGAGGTCAGAGGCTAGGACATGGAAGATTCGGAATTCAAGCTACACAATATCACCTTCTATAACATCTACATAGATCATAAATCAGCAAAGGACTAATTGGGGTGGTTTTTATTATATATTGGTGTTCAAATGGTATTCCACAGAAGCCCATTCCTAAAAAAGGCTTCGGCTACAAATGATTCACTTTCCTTTCTTCAGATATCTGTGAAATATGAAACATTATATTACATATATTCACAATTTAAAAGGGGGTAACTATGAAGCTTAAAAGATAATTAAGTTCATAAAAGTCAATATTCACATTATTGTTTTTAGTAACCCCTATATTACACGACAAAAACATAGTCCTTATATACACAAATGAAAATACCATAAATACAAATTTCTTTAACATCCATAGGCTAAAGAAAACAAGCAATAATGACATTAAAAACAACATAAGATTTAATTTCTGGCATGTTGGGGTTCTGTTAACTGGAGAAAGTTTTGTTTATTTGTTTGGTTTAAATAATAGAGACAAGGTCTCACTATGTCGCCCAGGCTGGTTTTGAGCTCCTGAGCTTAAGTGATCTCCCGCCTCAGCCTCCCAAAGTGCTAAGATTACAGGCACGGGCCACCACACCCGACCTGGAGAAAGCTTTAATTATTTATAAATAGAGTCCTGGTTAGAAACAGGACTTTAGGTATTATTTTCTGTATTTTCATTATAATACTTAATATTGACTCTTGATTCTCTCAGTGTATAGGCTTTATCTTAGAAATATATTAAAATATTTCAAAAGCCTAACTAAACTTTTTCAATTTACAAATTAAAATACTGTGATGAATTTAGAAATATCATTATAACTAGAAAGAGTTTTCTCTCTTTCTAGAAGTACCAGCTTCCTCCTAGAGATGGATCATAAGTATTTGTTTTTCTTTAGGAAAAAAGAAATTACCTAAAGATATGGGATTGTGAGGTGTATGCAACAGTCTTTCATTGTAGGCTTCTGACAACTTCTTTATTTGGTTGGACAAATATGAAAACATTTCCTGCAACAATAAAATGTCACATTTAAAAACAAATCAAATATCTACTGCCAGATTTAATAAGACAAAAATCTGACTGGTATGAAGTCTACATTGTAAATGAACCCACCCATGTGCCTTAACACCAATTCTCTCCTTTGCCACAACACAGTGAAATTCAAAGCTGCTACAACTATCAGAAGCCACAGGATTTTAGTAAAGGCAAAGAACCAGCACACTTTCTCCCTTCACTAGTATGTATCTATCACAAATCCATCTTCTTCTCAGAACTTCCAGATCTACCACTCTGGAACTCGTAGCTATCAACCTCTTTCCCTGGACACAGCAATAGATCCTAAATGATTTTTCTGCCTGTTCTCCACCGTTCTATAATCTGTTCTATACTCAGAGACTAGAGAGGTCTTTCAAAAGCATACCAGTTCATGCCTCTCCCCTGATGACTTCCTCCAGTAACTATTAGAAAACCACACTCTTCATTTCTAAGGCCCCACATAATGTGACCCAGCCAATATACTCAACCTAGTGACTATCATTTCCCCTAGTCACTACACACCAGTCACATTAGCCTCCTTTCCAATCATTCTAGTGTTCAAACCTTTGTGCTTGCTTTCCCTGAATTTCCTAGATCATTCCCCAAGTGGTCCCTCTTGTCAAATACTAAAGACACCTGCCTTTGTTAACTTCCCTATTAAAGCAGCTTTAATTAATTTAAACTCTGCCAATCTCCTTCCCAATCCCAATCTCCTTCCAACACATTACCTATTTTGGTTCCTTCACTATACTTGCCACAATCTGAAATTATCTCATGTATTTGCTTAAATCAGTATTGCCTATCACTATGTATTACAGGGGAAAAACTCCTCGACCACAAGGACTTTGTCTTCTTCACCACCGTTGCCCCAACACCAAGAAAAATGTGCCAGACTTTAGTACACAAGTTATTTAGGAAAAGGTAGTTTATAAATGCATTTCCTTTAAATCACACAACATTAAAGTGAACAATTCCCTTACTTCAATTAAAAGAATACAGCAACTCCCATAGTCCAAGCTTGAGCCCAGGAGGTCAACACCAGCCTGGGTAACAAAACAAAAACAAAAACAAAAACAAAGGCAACTAAAACTAAAAATTGTCCCACTCTGAAAAATAAAACATATTCAATAGTAGAAAATATAATAAAAACATATTTTACAAGTATCAAATGTCACATGTATATAAGTGGCAGTTTAACAGTTACAAGTAAATATTAAGTTGGCAACTACTTGACCTAAAATTTTACTTTCTTCTCCTCACAAGACCTTTAAAAAGTGTTGAAATCAGTATCTGCCCAACTACAACTGCAGCTAAACAAACCCATTTGCACTGAGCTCCTCTAATCACAGACAAAACAGATAAACTCTAAGGATACACCAAACAGCCAGCGGCTAACAGAGTGCCCAAGCAGAGACAGCAAGAAATGACACTTCTCCAACCTCAAAGGCCAAGATACCCTGATCCCACACTGAGTCCCAGAGGAATTTTTTCATGTCTGAAGCACACAGATGATTAACTCCATCTTTTGTTAGGTAAAGATTAAGAGGAAAACGCCTATCAGGTTTATGAATTATTAATGAGACTACTTAAGATCACAAACAGTTTCACTTCTGTCAACCCAGTACATATATTTTATATTCTCACCTAAAATTTTTGAATAATCATTTTTAAATTTTAGGATACTTTGTAATATTAATTCTCAGAATGTTGGAATTACAAAAATCTTAGATCACTAAAATAAATTCATTCCTTTTATATTCAAAAAGTTAACATCTACAGTGGCCATACTTAATGAAGCTATTAATAAATGTTACTGTTACATGAGATAAGCCTTTCTCTTTTGTTATTTAAAGTATAGAGAAATATTTAAGGAGACAAATGGCATTATTTCCAGAAACAAACAAAAAAGCATCTTTCCTCAGACATATAAAAATATCCTGGGCTGAATGTGGTGGCTCACGCCTGTAATCCCAGCATTTTTGGGAGGCTGAGGCCGGTGGATCACTTGAGGTTAGGAGTTCAAGACCAGCCTGGCCAACATGGTGAAACCCCTTATCTACTGAAAATACAAAATTAGCCAGGCATGGTGGTGTCAGCCTGTAATCCCAGCTACTCAGGAGGCTGAGGCATGAGATTCACTTGAGCCCGGGAGGCAGAGGTTGCAGTGAGCCAAGATTGCGCCAGCTTCACCATGTTGGTCAGGCTGGTCTCGAACTCCTGACCTCAGGTGATCCACCTGCCTTAGCCTCCCAAAGTGCTGGGATTACATCCGGCCCTCGTCCCTCCTTCTTAACCCAATATTCCCATACTACAAAAGGTGAAACAAGAAGATAATCAAATGGAACAAATCAACAGTTTTTCCAGCAATCAGAACAATTCATAATTTTTTAGTAACACACCAGGGTTAATAAAGAAGAGAATTCCTGGGTTTCATCCATACATTTTCATCTCCTATAAAGTAATTAGGTTACTAATTTAAATGCTATTTTTTTAAAGCAGTCACATATTTTCATTTAGATATTAAATGCTGATTTTTCTTCACTTATATTATTCACCAAAGTCTTAAATGGCCTCCGTCTTTCCAATTTACTCTGAAATTCATCAAACTCCCAAAGGCACAAACAAACCTCATAGGCAGGAAATGCCTTTTACAGAGCCCTACCCCCTACAAACCACCTAACAACAACATAACCCACACCCATCCTTCATTTATCCTCAAGCATATATTCATGAAGCAAAATTTTCTCCAGTTTACATATTTCAGTGGTGAAGACAATTTAAAATATTATTCTATCTACTTTGGCAGCCACATTAAATACCAATGTGGTCACATCTGTGAATAAGCTGAACCTGATGAGTACTTAATTTATACTCAGGTTAGCTATTTCTGAAAAAAGAGAAAATGTTTCCTAAGCAACACCCCTAGAGGGGGTGCTTTTAAACTTACTGATGCATACATGGCTATTAAAAAGTGAATTTGCCCAATGTTCAACTTCTAATACTTTAACAAATTAGTTTTTACCAGTTCTATCAATCACTTGCTAATGCCACTAGAATTCCATTTGAACTGTAGGTAATATTAGGATACTATTTTTAGACTACGAAGATAACACTAAAGTAATTAAATCTTATATCACTAGTATGGGAGTAATTAGATATAAAAAAATTTGAAGCAAGTTCACATCCATCAACAAATATTTAGAATATATTTACTCTGTGTAAAGGGTTATAAGTAAACCAATAAGCAAATGTTTTAAATATCTTAAAGCACACTATGCTAAATTCTATAATATTCCACATGTTAAGCTCCTAAATGCTCTCCTATTAATATTACTACATTTTAAAAATATCATTTAGGAGACTATTCCACTATTCTACACTAATACTTAGCTAAGCAGTTTTTTACCTGATATATTAAAGCTACTACAGAACCTGTACTATTTTTTGCTACAGTTAAATCTGTAACTGACATTTATTATAAAATACTTCTGTAAAGAAAGAAATTTATAAGCAACCCAAGCAAATGTATATAGAAAGATCTTACTTAAAAGAAATGAAATATTATTGATTTTCCATGTTCTCTGTACTGTATTTAACTTAATTTTAAGAGACTTTTCACTAGAGATAAACTGAACTGTATACCTGAATGCTAATGTCAGCTATATTTCTAGAATAAAAATACAAAACTTTACACCATAGTTCAAGATGTTAATGGAAGAGAAGCTGAATGATATTAAGCATTATCTTTCATATGGCCTTTTGCAAATTGATTTGCAGTCATGAAATTCGACATTTAGCCTGTCTCTCCCAGAATCCAAAGATGTGCATAATTCACTAAATTTTAAGTGAAACGGTCTTATGTAATCATGTCTTTGAAAACATACTGTTTCAAGTTATAGGATAAAATAAAGATAGAACCTCACATATTATTACAATATGTTTCACAAGGCAGGTAACAAACCAAAAGAAACATACCCACTAGTCTACTATTTCAAAGATAACATGAATGAATGGATGGATGGATGACTGACAGTAGGTAAATACTGAAGCAGACAGATGTCCATATTGGAGGAAAACAGTACTAAATATGACATGCTGCTGTCCCTGACTGTGGTCAGCTAAAAGGATCCAGGCACACTTGGCAAATCTTGTTTCAGAGGCTACACCCATTTGCATTCAAGTTGTTAAGGCCCCATATGTAGGCCTGAAATCAGATGCTTCTGCAGAGATTGAACCACTCCACTTATAGGGCTGCAGATCCAGTAGTGTTTCCAAACTTAGCTCTGCTATAAGGACACTGAAGTGTATAACGTTCTTTTAAAACTTAGTTTGTCCCCCAGTTTTTAGCTCACAAATTCTAGCCACCGAGCAGCCATAGTGCTGTTATTCTTCTTCCACTTATCCAATTTAGCAGATATTTGCAACAATAAACGATTACCTGCCTTCCCTGTTCAGCAAAGCACTCTTCTAAAAGGAAAGCTAAATGGAATAATGATCTTCTCCAGAAGCGAAACAAAAGTGAGGATAAACTTCTAAGACCATAGACTTTCTTTCTGCATAGACAAACTAAAAGATACAGCCTTACGTTTTAACCCCTTTTTTAAAAGGGGTTAAATTCATGGTTATTTCTCCCCTCAATGAAGCAAATGTGTTGATCAGGAAGGGGATAAGGGCAAAGAGGCTCAATTCACACACAGAGCTCCCCTCTCTCTGATCCTTTCACCCTTCAAAAAAGAAAGCTTAAGAAGGAATGGCTTCAAGCTGAGTTCTTGTCTGCCACTACTGTGAAAAAGAAAAAGCTTTTTCTGAAGAGATAAAGCTAGATGAAATAACCTCTAAAAATATCATTGTGGTGAATAAGGACATAGAATGAAAAAAATCCTAAGTTTTCTACTAACATTCCTTTTTTTAGTACACAATAACACCAATAATATAAAAAGGAACTCTCAGTGATGGTATATAAATAGCTCTG